TGTGACAGCAGTGAAGGGGAAATTTACCACTTTACCTGAGGCAGCAAAATGCCTTGGCTAATGCTGGTGATGGCTAAAGTCTTAAGCTCAGGTCTGTTTGCTTACATTAGAAATCAATTTTATTCTGTGTTGCATCTGACTGTGCAGCATATTGCCAATTATGCATATGTTTATTAATTATATCATTACATGTTTGATAATTAAATATTTGGGGATTTTATAAGTTTTGAGCTCTGAATTGTGTGCTGTCTTCCTATATTAACTGTCAAAGGCCACCTCTGCTTCAAGCTGATAAAAAAACATGCGTGACTCTTCTACAGATACACCATGCACTCTGCTTGCAGATAAAAATGGCCTTAACCACAGCACCATTCAGAATCCTATAGATAAAAACCTGTGGTGTTGTCAAAGCCAGTTTTATCAGTTTCTTTGTTTCAACCTTTTTTGGGGGGCGGGAGAATCTACAGCGCATTGAAAATATGGCATATTGTACACTTCATTTCCAAGTACTCAGTTTTACATGACTAAAACAGCAGTATGTGTATATAATCTTCTTCTTCTTCTTCTTCTACTACTACTACTACTACTACTACTAATAATAATAATAATAATAATGTTGGAAGGGACCTTGGAGGTCATCTAGTCCAACCCCCTGCTCAGGCAAGAAACCCTATACCATTTCAGACAAATGGCTGTCCAGTCTCTCCTTAAAAACTTCCAGTGATGGAGTATTCACTGCTTCTGGAGGCAGGTTGTTCCACTGGTTAATTGTTCTAACTGCCAGGAAATTTCTCCTTAGTTCTAGGTTGCTTCTCTCTTTGGTTAGTTAGTTGCTTCTTATCCTGCTTTATGTTTAGGATCATTTCAACCCTTGGAGAATTTTGAAGGAGAAATGGAGGGATCTCTAAAAATTAAAAATGACAAAAAAAGGAGTTGAGCATTTTTTTCTCAATAGCATATTTCTTCTTTTATGCACACAGCCTGACTGTTTGCTGTCATGCTAGAGCTGTAGAAATCCAGGTAACCACTTGATGGAGCAAAGAGCTGCAATACTGTTGTTTGCTGCTCACAAATTATAATTTAATGAATTTATTGGCCTAAAACTTAACCCTGGGTGGAGAGATAGACTGAGCTAGTAAGTTATGGATTAGTTATCATAAAATATTCATAAGATTTTTTTTTCTAATCCTATTACAAAAGTGCATCAGATTCATACAGCATTGTTATATAAAGTTGCAAGTTCAGTTCTTGATACAACCACTTGGAGATCTTTTTTCAATCTAGCAGATCTGATTTGAAAAAATACGGACAACTGTGAAATGACTGCAAAGAGAATGAAGTTTTATACAGTTCAGATCTGGTACTGAAATTTTACATATTTTACATATATTTTTAGGGAGCCTTGAATTCAGTCAAGTTCTACCACATAGAGACCGTGGGTGTGTTTCTAGTTGCTATGATTAGATTGTATCTAAAAATTTCTTGATACGTATGCAATATTTGTTCTTAGCTTGTTTTGAACAAGATGCATTAGTCAATCTATCATATGAGTGTTGCAACTAACTATTAAATCACAGGCCCTGATAAACTTGCTTCTTTAAGAATATGTAAACTAATTGTGTGCATGCTCATCTGGAAGAAAGCTTCGCTTCAAGAGGATCCGTTCTGAGTAAACATATAACATTTAGATATTAGAAAATTATACTGTCACAGCTAACCCATCAAAAAAACATGAACAAATAAATGATGACAAATAAATGATGGCTTATTAAGTTAACATGATTTTAGCTGAATGTTAATCGAGTTCAAGCTTATGGTTTCATGCAAACAGAGCCTTCTTCGGTTTTGCTCTTTTTTTTTAAATTCGGAGCTACTATAGCAATCATTACGGTAATGGTGCCACGCTCTTCTGACACAAACCTTGGGCGGTCCCCACAAGCACCAATTAGGGCAACCGGGAAAAGAATCCGGAAGTCTAGTGGAGGGGTGCTTTTTTTTTTTTTTTCCCCTTCGGGTAGGCAGCAGGGCGGGAAAAAGACACGCACCGCCTCGTAGAGGACAAGATGGAAAAGAATGGGATGGTCGTGTGAGTAGCGACTGCAGAGACAAAACGGAGAGATCGAATAATAACATTTCTCTTTCTTGCTCTTCTAGATTACGGGACTACATTTCCCATAGTTCCCAAATCTCGCGGTCATTAACTAAAGGCCGGCAGAATTTTGGGAATTGTAGTGTAACTGGCAATGCACCAAGGTGGGGAAGGCTGCTGTGGGTTCGGTCGGAGAGCATTGGCATACGGCAAATTAGGGAGCGGTGTCCGAACCCGTCCGGCATGAATTGGGCTGTATGGGGACGCGACCCAAGAGTGGAGAACTGCTGCTTCTCAGAGGCACCGGGTTATGCTCCAAGACATGGAGGTTTTTTTGCCTTCCACCCCATATGGCAAAGTCATTAGGTCTTCAGGGGGTGCAGCAGGTGGCTTCACGTGCCGACCTGCTCCCCAAGATCGAAGGCCAGGAAAAGGAGGCCACTTACTGAGAAATCTAGTGGCCTGCAGCCCTGGTGTGTTAGTATTTAGTTTGAGCACACAAGGGCGAGCAGCAGCCAGCGAGAAACTCCCATTCCGTCCTGAGCTGGATAGCACTGTGTCAAGAATGATAGGCAGGACTTTATTAAAGGAGCTAATTCTCCTTCGCCTTTCTTCCTTTTAATGTGTGAATAGATACTACCAGCAGGAGAGAGATTCTGTTTTAGTAGTCGTTTTTGTTCTGCGGTAGAAAAATCAGGGGGCTCAAATGTCTCATTTGTCCCCTTTCTGAGATAATCTGTGGGTGTGGGAAGCACACGGTATTCTGAGAATCTCTCTTTCTCTTCAATTGTTCCTTAGTTCAAGGAAGGCAAAGCTGTAACCTTCCAGATATGATTGGAATCTAGTTGCTGTCTGCCCCAGTTGGCATGGCCTATGGTCAGGGGACATGAGAATTGCAATTCGTAACATCTGGAGCATTACAGGCTGCCCTCCTTTTCTATGTTATTTTTCTTCAGAAATATAAATGCGACAAGAATTGAAAATATTATGTAATCATTTTGTAATATATATGGTGGCATGAAATTAAGTTCTCAGTGTTTATTTTCAAAGTGGGATGATAGGATTAGACTGTAAAGGTGATATTTTGAAATAATTTTCAGATAAGAACATTTTGCAATAAAAAGTACAGGTACACAGTCTAGTTCAGTTTGAGGTCCAAAGGAATCTTTATAAAGTTCCAGTTTTGCTATCATTGTTAATGCATGATCCTGTGCCTACAGAGTGAATTTATCTACTGTATCTTATACCTCTTTAGAGAGAATGGCTTTCCCCAGTCCTTTCTTTCCCAATTTGTATTGGTACTTCAGCTCATGGACTTTGGAACCAAAATGGCTGGAATTCTGAAAGTCACAGCTGTCCTTGAGCCTAGTACTTGTTTTTTATTTTTTTGCATTTTTAAGGGAAGTACATTAGGAGGAAATGATTACTTGAAAAAAAAATATACATTTTTCTGGAAGTAGTTGAATTAGCTGATGGCATTCATGATCGAATAGGAATTAATTTTGGGATAGTATGTTAAAGTGTGGCTCAGTACAATTTTACATATCTCAGGCAAAGGGAATGTAAAAATGTACAGTTTTTTCTTGTGATATATGGACCATTGAAGTTAGAACCTTATGAACACTTACCTGGAAATAAGCCCCTGGAATTTAGGGTAAGTTCTTTCAGAATCACCCTGCATTTAAAACATTAATATCCTAGATTTCTTGTTCTTTGCTTGACCAATAATGTTGACAATATAAGCAGGTAGTCAAGTTAACTGCTACTCTACATTATGGACAATGCAAAAAAGATTATGTTAAGTTAGAAAAAACATTGTTATTCTGTGACGGTAGCATAGGGACTAGGGGACACTTGAGATCTGTAGCTGCTTCTGGATAAACTCTAAGCATGTGTAATCTTATACTGTTATGTCTCTTTGACAGCTGAGGTGAATTAACTTTAGCTCTGCTATGATGTAAGAGAAACTGCTCTGACGCTAGCTTTCAAAGGGCTGGAGTTCTGCAGAGTTTTTGGAGGATGTGTTTTCTCCATTACAGGAATCTCTTCTCTCATCCCAAACCCTAAACTCCAGCACCCCAACAGATTCTGCAAGGAGAATGCTGACTTGACAGCTCTGCATCTCTGCCTCAGAACCCCAGGCAAATTTTATTGTATTGTCAGGCTTCAAATAGTTTTCCATTTCTGTTACCAAGGCACCATCCCTTTCAAAGACAAGCTACTAAGTTTTTAAATTTATTTTCATTCTGTTTGCAGGAATTATTTTTGTGGCGGGTGGGGGTATATTTGGTTGGTGCAGGTCGTTCAGACAGATGCTTAGAATGGGGTAATGATTTTAATTTCTTATTCTGATTCTGAATCAATAAATGAAGATGATTATGGATTGTTTTTGAACTGGTGAGGAGAAATAGTTGCATAGTGGAGGGGCTTTAGAATAGGTTATATAATTCATTCCTCATTCAGTACAAGTGTTTGTTTCTGGTACTGATAACTAGTGACAGTTCATAGGATAGTTTGGTGTATATGTGTGTGGGGTGATTTTCTAGTTTGAAACATTGGATTTTATAATTAATATAAGGAAATAAAAGAAATAAAGAGGAATCGAGCTGAGAAGAGAAACTGCTAGTAAACACCTTTATGAGAAACTGCTAGTAAACACCTTTATTGGGAGGGGGGGTCAAGTTGCAAAATTTAATTATGGTTCAGCTGCCACATACTTCCTGTCATCTGTTTTATGTTACTTGAGAAACAGAAAAACCTGCTTTCATTTGAGAACCGTTTACATAACTGCATATACAAAACCCAAGACTGGGTTTAGAAACATTTGGATATATCTCCATAGGAAATGAGGATGCTACATTCAGAACTTGCAGTTTGCATGTAAGAGTAAAGCTTATTTTATAACTTTTATTTAGGAATCAGAACTAAGAATATTTCTGAAAATCTTCAGAATGTTTTCATTTTGCAATTGAGGCAATAATAACTTCCAGAAAAACAACCAACACCTGATATTTTTTTAATTTAAAAGATTAGCCATTGAGAGGGAGGTCTCATTTATTTTCAGCTTTCTGCCCCCCCCCCTTAGAAAGAAATTATGTAAAGGACATCAGGATTTTATCTGTTTGGCCCTCACTAGGGATAATTCTCAAAAAATGGAACAGAATGGAACTTAATTTGATATCTGACTAGACCACTCCATGCCCATTGGGTCATCATTCCAGAGATATTACCTTACCTAAACAGAGAAATGGAATGACTGTGGGAAGGCAAAAAAGCAGTCTAAACAGGAGTGACTTCCAATTTCCTGTTGCTTCCCCATTAAATTTTCTTGTGGGAAACTGGCAAGGAGCATCAGAAATCCTCCTTTCCTTCCTTTCCTCCCTCCCTACCATTCTGTTATTATCTTCCTCCCTTCCTCTGTAGAATTCCTATTGGCTTCCTATTTTTTTTGTTTGTGGAAAGCTTACAGGGAGAAGGTCAGCGAGGAAGCCAGCAGGCAGCTAAATGGTTGCTGCTGGAAGCCAGCAGGCAGCTAAGTGGTTGCTGCTGGGTGGGGGAGAGAGAGCAAGGAGGTGCATGTAGATACGAGTTAGGAATGATACCTGGGTAAGAGATACTAAGTGGTTTGGGAAGGAAATGTGGGTGTGCATCAGAGATGCCATGAGAGTTAAGGAGGTTGTGCAGATGGTGATGTAGGTTGGAAAGGGTGCCCAAGGTGCCTGAGGTTAAGTAGGATGCATGGCGGGGGAGGGAGTGTGGACGAACAAGGATGTAGAGGTCACGGGGTTGTAAGAGGAGCTGCGTGGTTCAAGTAGGGTATGCAGAGGACAATGTGGCTCAAGAAGAATGCATAGGGGGGTCATAAGGGTGTATGAGAGATGCTGACTGGTAGGAGATGGTTCACAGGAGGAATGTGGATTGGGAAGGGTATCAAGGAGTAGTGGGAGCCCAAGAGGTGCTGTGCAGGTCAGGGATGGCATGCAGGGGAAGCAGCCTGGATGTATGGGGATTCCCAAAACATGCTGCCTGGGTCAGGAAAGTGTGCCAGAGGGGCATGGATTGGAGAGGGGGCATAACCGTGCACAAGAGGTGCCATGTGGATCAGGGATGACACATGGGGGACAGTGCATGTCAGGAAAGGTGCATTGGGGCACAAGACATGCCATGTGGGTCAAAGAAGATGCACGGGGGCAGCATGGGTCAGGGAGTGCATGAGGTTGCATAATAGGCGCTGCATGGTTTGGGGAAAACGTGCGTGGGGTTGGGAAGGTGTGCAGGGCTATAAGCACAGGTCGGTGGAGCATGCAGAGGGGGTGGGGCAGATGGGGTAAGATGGACTGCACAGGGATTCCTTCCTCTCTTCCCTTCCCATCCCTTCCCCTCCCAGAAGCCAGATAATTTGCTGCTGGGTGGGGAGGGAGCAAAGTATTATGAGACTGACTGAGAAACTGTAAAAGAAATTTGAAAATAAAGATCATGTGACGGGTGCAGCAGCCAATAGCACTGAAGCAGCCACATCTTTCCCACATTCCATTCCCTTGGGTCATGGATCTTGGATTTTGAACATATTCTGTAAGTTAGCCCATTAGAGGTACCTTGGTCCAAAAACCATTGCCCTATGATGCACCATTTCAGCCAGTTAAAGATCATAACAATGAAAGTTTTATTAATATATAGATAGATATCTGGGGAGAAGCTGACAATAGAGGTAGCAAGTCTGAAAATGGATCAGAAGAAACTGCAGAGCTGCAGAGGAAAAAAGTGCAGAAAAAAATTATAATGCGAATCTATGCCACCTCCATTTTAACTCTGCATTCCTCATGATCGAATGACCGAGACAGAGTATATGCCATCTGTCTTGTGCTTCCCTGGGTACACATATGGATAAATAATACACACATGTGCAACGTAAGGGGAGAGCACACAAACATAACACAATCTGCCTGTGCACTCATTCAATTATGTCTCTCTAGGCATCTGTGTATCTATGTGTTCATTCAACCTGCTTAGTGCCTGGGGAGAAAGTGCACCCAGAACACCACATTATTATATGGGAGGAAACATAGATGCTTCCTAAGGCTGCTTATGGGGCTAGAGGGATTGGAAAGAATTCCAGAAGCTATGAATACCTTGCCTATTTATTCTAACCCTTTGGAATATTGGAAAGAAATGTGAATAGGCTGGGACTCTGCCTGTCTGTCTGTCAGCAGGATAACAGTCTGGAAAGAGAACAAAATGGGTCCAAAAAGGCTGTAGGCACAGACATTGAAAAAAAATGATCAAGATCAAAATGAGCTGGGCCCAGCCAGGAGCACATAGAAAAAGAAATCCTGAACAGATTTCCACAGTGCATCCCTAAAGGGCACAGCTTTGAATGTTGACAGTTCTCTATTCTAAGCAGCCTTCCTGCTCTCTCCTCTCTACACACAATTATGTGCCCCAGAGTGGAACATGTGGCGCCCACTCTCCTCCCAGTGCGCAGACACCACGGGACAGGAACAAAAATGCTCATACACCAATGCAGCATGTTACTTCAGTACGGATGCCTCCCATTGGTAAAGAGCTTGGAAAGATTTTCCAAAGCCACGTTTGACGTTGTTTTCCTTTTGCAATCAACTGTCACAATATTTATGGCAGAAACCATTAGCTTTTGACTGCATCCTTAATCCAAGGAGGAATTTAAAGATATTATTCGATTTTCTCTGTACAGATGCAGAATTTCCACTTTTACAATTGCTAGACTAAGGAAGGCTATAGAATTTATATTGAGAAATAACCATTTAATGCCATCAGTTATAGTGATCTGGAAAATCCAACATCTCCGTCTTCTATGTTCATATTGCTTTTTGTTTTCCTCTGATTAGTCCTACAGGGTTTCCTGAATTGAAAAATGATACATTCTTGCGGGCAGCACGTGGAGAAGAGACAAAATACGCTCCTGTTTGGTGCATGAGACAGGCAGGAAGATACCTACCAGGTAATTAAAGCAGAAAGGGTGACCTGAATTTATACAAGAGGGTGCCCAGTTTATCACTTTCAAATAGTCGCAGTGCCTGTTATTCCTAGTCATTGGCCATATTGGTTGAATTGAATGGAATTATAGGTCCCAATGATACTGTTTCTGCTGTCTAGTCCAGTGGTTCTCAACTTGTGGGTCGGGACCCCATTTGGGGTCGAACGACCATTTCACGGGGGTCGCCAAACAATGCAGTCCGCCATTTTTTCCCCCTTTTCCTTAGCTGTGCTACTCTCTTTTATTCTATTGGCTTTTGAAAGCCAATAGAATAGACTCTCTAGAACAGAGTCTAATTCTATTGGCTTTCAAAAGCCAATAGAAATTGTCCAGGCTGTCTCTGCCCTGCTGAGCCCGCCAAAAGTCCCATTCTGCAAACGGTGCTACACCAGTTGAGTAGTCCTCGACTTATGACCAGTTGAGTAGTCCTCGACTTACGACCGGTTGGGGGTCGCGGTATTAAAAAGGTTGAGAACCACTGGTCTAGTCAATGTGTCATATCTGAGTTGTTAAAATCCAGATAGCTGTTAGATGGCAGCAAAGAGGAAAAAGAGACCCCACTAGTTATCTGAATTAGGGAGACTAGATATTAAGAAGCTTTTTCTATACCTTGTGACTTTTTAAAAGTGATTTGTAGTATTTGGGGTGCTTTTGGTTGTTGTGCCTTCAAATCGGTGTTGAATCCAGTTGACTGCCTGGGTCGTCCCTGCAGTTTTCTTGGCCAGGATTTTCAGAAGTGATTTGCCCTTGCTTTTTCTTCCTAGGGCTGAGAGAGTGTGACTGGCCCCAAATTGCCCAACTGGTTTTGGGACTAAGGAGGACTAGAACTCTCCTAATTTCTAGCCTGATACCTTAATCGCTATATCAGACTGACTGTCTTGGGTTGGGTATTTTAATAAGATATATAAGCCATGAATTATGAGGTAAGAATGCAATTTCTGTCAAATGAGAAGAGGGCAAAGGAAAAAATATTCTAAAGATCAGATTTTTAGGGAGAATCCTGAGAGAGAATACAGGTAGTCCTCGATTTCCAAGAGTTCATTTTATAACCGTTCAATCCACGTTCGATCCACTTTCTAATTATTTTGCAGAATTCCGTGAGACTCGAGCATCTCAGGATTTCTTTGCGACCTGTCGATCACCAGAGACATGCTGTGAACTCACACTGCAAGTATGGAGGGAGCTTTATGTTGTTCTTCAATTAGGACAGATGTTCGGGATTGAAGTTTTGTTCAGGACCTCACTTAACTCTTAAGTCTATTTTCGTTTTGTTCTTTTCTAAAGTTATCTCTGTTCCACTTGTTTAATGTCTGTGTATCCTGAGTGTCTTTCCTCCTTCTTTGCTTCTGTTATTTATTCATCCTTCTTGCACTGATAAACTGCCTGTATATCTTAACGTTTTCTATTAGAACTTAATTTGGAATATTTTCATTAAGTTTATGTTCATTAATCTTTATTTACCCAATGTAGTTTTGTCTTTCTTTTTGAAAACATATTAATAGCCTAAAGTTTCATTTATTTGCCTGCAAAACACTTATATACATTGCTGACTGCTTTGGGATTTCTTTTTCCGCTTTTTAATCTTCTATTTATATAATGCTTCCTCTGTTTTCTGTCATATTGTTATAAACATGTCAGTATTTTTTCCATGTTTATTGTCAGACTGACAGCATTGCTTTAAACATTACTTGGGTCTGTTTTTATAATTTTCATATTGAAAAAAAATCTTCTTTTCTTGTTTTCCCATACATTAATCTTATTCTATTTTGGCCCATCGAGAGTTTTGTTTTTGACCTGAATATAATTTTAGTTTTAAAATAGAAATGTTTATGTTTTTTAAAATTTAGCTTTTTAATATTCACCCTTTTATAATATTTTTAAATCACTACTTTTCATGATGTTTCAACACTTTCATTGGCAACTTTGTACACTATCTTCATCAGAGCTACTTTTCAATTTTGCATTTTCAGTTTTTTCCCACTAAGTTGTTGCTGTTGCTAATCATTGCCTCTCTCAATTATTTTTTATCGGTCACTTCCTCCTCCTCCTCCTCCTCCTCCTCCTCCTCTTTGTTATTAAGGGCTGTTCTTTTGGGGAGGGGGACAGGGAAATTGTGGAACATAAGAATAGGCATGAAAGATTTGATGAGGCCCAGACATATTTAACCAGAAATATTGAATCTTTCTTAAGAAAAGTGAAGAATATTGTCCAGTAGTAACTAAAGCAGTACATTACATTATGGGGAGGAAGCGATAGGGCCCACTTAGTCAGTGAAGGGCAAATTTCTTGAACCAAATTACTTCTTTCTTTAGACACAAAATTGAAGACGTCAACAAGCATCCAGCTCATTGTCCTAGGATTACCAACATTTCTAGTAGTATGACTGGAGTATATACACACACAATTATTGCCACCCTCCAATAGCAATAGCAGTTAGACTTATATACTGCTTCATAGTGCTTTACAACCCTCTCTAAGCAGTTTACAGAGTCAGCATATTGCCCCCAACAATCTGGGTCCTCAATCTTGAACCCTGTCAGGATTGAATTGCTGGCAGTGGGAATGCAGAATTAGCCTGCAATACTGCATTCTAACCACTATGCCACCATGGTTCTTGTAGTGTCATATTGTAGCTCTTGAAAAGATCCTCAGTAATTATCACATTTTATATAACTATATACAAGAATTTCCCCCCTGCTGGGTTAGGCATTCTTGCATTCCCTGTAAATTTCAGTCTATATTTAAAAAGGTGATGCTTCATTGGTACAATGTGACTAATATTAACAAGAGAGTATTATCTGAGATGATGTGGATTCTGAAAAGCAGTAGAATTAGTCTATAGAGAAATTCTTTAGTGCTCGGTATATGTCTGTATGGCAGGCAAGATTGTGCCATTGATACAGCAATGCTGGATTTGTTAATTATCCAAGAAGCACTTAAAGCTGCCTCTGGAGAGGCCTACAATTACAGTTTCTTAATTTTCTTTTATATAGAAAAGCGCTCCACGCAGAATGGCAGCTACTGTGCATCATAAAAAAAATCCTAGCTCCATTTTACTTTTTCTCTGAATTTGTTCAATCAAGTTGCTTTATATTTTCACTACCATCATGAATGCTAGATTTGCCTATTTCAAATATATATATGTACAAATCAAGCCTAGTTAAAAATCAAGTTTATGTGTTGTCTCCACTCTCTTTGGTTTCAGCCTCTACGACGCTTTCCTTTTGATGCTGCCATCATCTTCTCTGACATCTTGGTGGTGCCTCAGGTATGAGAAATGGCTGGGGACAAGGACATGCTGCTAATGATTTTACTTGGGAGAAGAGGACTGACGAAACTTTTACAACCAGAATGAGTTCTATCCCACATTACTTGTCTCTTTCAGGCACTGGGCATGGAAGTGGTGATGGTACCAGGAAAAGGCCCCACATTTCCAGAACCACTAAAGGAAGTAGAGGACCTGCTGAAGCTTCGTCAAAAGGTTGATGTGGCAACAGAACTGGGCTATGTCTTCCAGGCTATCACACTGACACGGCAGAGATTGGAGGGGAAGGTGCCTCTGATCGGTTTCTCTGGTGCCCCAGTAAGTTCAGTTATTTGGAAAAACATATCTTACAACAAATCCCTGCTTGCGTCTCTACACTTTTCTATTGGGTAGTAGAGGCGTGTGCTAGATTTCTGTGTTATTGGACATCAGGAGGGTTCTGTGTCTTTGGCAACAGCATTAGATAAGTCATTAGGATGGAGAAAATGTCTTGGTTCTCAAATACTTTCAGCTTGACCTTTTATATTCTTGTTCCTTAGCCCTTAACATAATATGTTGATCAGTTGGCTAGCCAACCATCTACTCCACAAAGATCTACCAAGTTTTATTTTGTGACATGTGATTTGAGCCAGATGGGTTTTTTATCTATTGCATTTCATCCCAAAAGACTTGGTTGGACATGAAAACTAATTGTTTCACAAACTAAGTACTTTGTGGGATGGAATGTGTTAACTCTCCAGAATGAGCAAAGTGCTGATACAGTTTCAGAAGAGGGCGCAGTACAATGCCAACCATGTAATCTGTTTGTAGTAGAACTGCTTCAGTGTTTCTGCAAAGTTCATGTAGTTGCAGAAGCTGGCCTAGCTTTGGAAGTAGACTTTTTTTATTCATATGCACTTTTCCTTTCTGCTGACTCTCATTCCTAGTGGACTTTGATGTCCTATATGATTGAAGGTGGTGGCTCCAACACAATGGCCAAAGCAAAAGCTTGGCTCTACCGGCATCCTGAGGCCAGCTGTCGTCTGCTCACTTTATTGACTGATGTTATTGTGGAATATCTGGTGAGACAGGTGGCTGCAGGTGCTCAGGTGAGTAGACTCTAAACAGCTTCTGTCCATACGTTTGTAGGCATCGCAGTTCATTAAATAGATTGGTTCTTGGGTTTCTGAAGGTATACTATTCCATTTATCTTTCTGCCGAAAAGGATTCTTCCAAGGAAGGTTAATTGAATCAATACATCAACACTGTATCATTTAAGTTACTGTTCCTAGACCATAGCTTTTCATAAATATCTGATTGTATTTCCTCTGTTGTTTTTAAGAATAGATTTCTGGAGCTCACAAGGACAGATTGAAGCTGAATTTGATGGCATTGGACAGAGCACAACTCTGCCCCACAGCAAATGATTTATAAAGTACCAGTCACCTTCAACTTTTGAGATTTTTGATCTGGCTTTATAAGCTCCAGAAAGCTCTTTTTCTTTTCTCCCAAATTATTATTCTTCCCAAAATGTTTCAAGAGATGACTTCTTGCAGCTAGTTCATATATATAGCCAGGACAGTAAAAATTTGCTGACTAGTCCTCTGCCATTCTTCCAACTGCCTGCAGTTAACTATTATGATGAAACTAAGATCCATCCATGTAACTGACAACCATGCCAGGCTTCTTGAACATACTGGTATAGATTCTGTCTACATAAAGCTCATTCTTATATTATACCAAATATATAGGAACTGCAACCTTGTCGTCTGTATTCTTTCACTTGAGAATAGGATTAAAAACTGCAAGTATCATGTGACAATCTAATCCCGGGACAAAACGTTCAACAAAGATAAGAACAATGAACACTACTACCTGAGGGTTTTCTCTTAAATACATTTTGGCAATTGAAACTTAGATTTGTTCCAGTTGAAGAACCCTAGAATGATATGTTCTGTGCCAGGACAGATTGGAGTGAATGCATTGTACAGTGAGAGGAGGACCTTCCAGATAAGTGGAAAGAAGAGGGGGAATAGCTGTTAACCAGGAAGTGATTCCATTTCTCTGCTTGTCTTTTTTGCCAGGCTCTGCAGATTTTTGACTCCCACGCAGGACATCTGGGGCCAGAGCAGTTTGCAGAGTTTGCCCTCCCATTCATTCGGTCTATTGCCAAGGGTGTGAAGAATAAGCTACAAGAAAATGCTCTCCCCGTGGTGCCAATGGTAAGAGATAGAGCTGTTTCCTTCTGCTTTTTTTCTGAATTATTTCCCAGAATTTACAGCAATTCTGTACAGAATGACAGTGTTCTGTTTATTTTAAAGACAAATATCACATTTTGGGAGACCCTGAAGCTCATTTTTACCTATATGTTTTTCTCAAGGATTGAAAAACCATTAACAGACATTTTCTAGAAGACATAAAGGTAGAAGAGAGGAAAAATATAGGTGATGGTAAAAAGACCTGGATCAGACCTACATAATCCAACATTCAGTTGGCCATGGAGTGCTTGCAAATTGGATACGAGTATAATTAGTTATGGGCTCCAACAACTACTACTGAAAAATATGTAGCTTCTGCTATTGCCAGAAACTTCATAGCTACCCTGATTTAGTAGCCAATGAAAGAGAATAAGCTTTATTCTCTTTCTCTTTCTTTAGTCTCCTTTGTCAGAACTATTTCCTGACACATCAAAACAATATTAAAATACGAAGTTAGTTTCTACAATTTGGATGTTAAAGTAAAATAGTTCCCTCTTCCCCCAAACCATAACTCTTGAGTAAATCTGGCATTTCAAGGATTGGTTTAATTAGTGTAGATTTTCCATAATCAGAGGTGGTGGACAATAGGCTTGCACTTCCATGACTCTTTATAGAAGCTTCTTTTTCACCCTCTCTAATGCCGAACTAGAAAAAAAAAGGATAATATGCAAGTGAATGTAACTCTGCATAATATTTACGCCACGAGATAATACAACTTTTCTTCATACAAAAGTTGAATTCCTATATTACCAAGTGTTTGTAACCCTGTCCACATAATCCTATTTTTTATATTGTCTTCCCCTCTCCACCTGCTAGATCATCTTTGCTAAGGATGCCCACTATGCATTGGAGGATTTGGCACAATCTGGGTATGAAGTGGTTAGCCTGGACTGGACCATGTCTCCCCAAGAGGCTCGGTGAGAAATGGGTTGCATTCCCTTGGGAACTTTGTATGGGTGTCCTCTCTTCTAACGATATATTCCCTCAGTTTTGCAATAATAGAGTAGCTTGTCATAAAAGTCAAATCCCTCTCACGTAAGTTACTTGAAAAATAAAAGAGATGGTAGTTGAAGTTAAGACTAAGTAAAGATACCAATCACGGGCTGTGCATGAAATATTATACTTCCATAGAGATGGGTTTTCTAGGACAGGTTAATACTGTGTAACAGATAGAACAGAATGTTCTCTTGCTTTTCCTTTACAAAATCAGTTTGGTTTGGTTTATTAGAAACCAAAAGAAGATAAGGTACCATATAGAGAAATGAGTAATTTTCTGCTTTCGCTCTCTACTTAAGGCTCTGCTACCTAACATCTTTCATCTGCTTCAGCATTTCAGCTGGAGTTAGCAGGAAGGAAGGGAGGGAGGGAGGGAAAGAGAGAGAGAGAGAGAGAGAGAGATGGATGCTGGATTTGACTGATAGCTTGCCTTTTATTCAGGAGCTCAAGGTAGTGTAATGTGTGTAGAACTCCCTCTTCCTATTTCTCCTCCTCTCAAAAAGCTCTGTGAAGTAAATTGAGCTGAGAGATGAGAGAGCGCTCAAAATCACTCAGTTTCTGTGACTGAGAGTGGAATAGAATCTGGGTCTTCCTACCAATCATGGCAGCTTTTCTCTGCTTATTATTGATTTCAGTTCAAAAGATCACCTGTTTAATAGCTTCTGAGAGACGCACTTTATTTTAAAATTAGCAGTTATAGTTGCATGTTTAGGCAATGAAGTCCAACAAGCAATTTTATCTCGGTTAAGTGCCTTTCTCCTACTTTAATTTTTTTTTCCTGATTCAGCCAGCGGACAGGAAGAAATGTTACCTTACAAGGGAATTTAGATCCATGTGCTCTCTATGCATCCAAGGTAAGGAAACATGCATTAACTTGTAACAATTGGGTTATACTCATTTCCGCAGCTAGTGGCTTCTTACATAAATTCATTTGCTGTCTAGCTGGGTTCTATGGAACTTGAATGGGTTCTATGGGACAAAGGAAAAAAAACTCTACAAGGTATTAAAGGAGGAAAAAATTCCCTTGCAGAGAATTTTATCTTAGTCCCTTGTAGAGAGGGAAGGAAAAAAATGTTAGTGACAAAGAAAAAAATATCTTTTAAAATGTGACTATGGCTTTTTCCCCTCTGCCCTTAATGGAGAGAGGTTTTTTTCCTCTCAGCCGCTAAGAACAGTGTAACTGACATCGATAAGCCCCCGCCCTCTTGATTAGGGATTTTGGGACTTTTTTTATTTTTAAAATCGGTTCTGCGGCTTGAAATAGTTTGAAAACTCATGGGGTAAAAATAATTTTCAAACCCTAAGTCTTGCTTATAGGTTAACGAAGATCAAGGTGCTATTACCAACAACTGTTTTTCTCTGCTGTGGATCAAGTGAGCAATCAAAAACTTCAAGCCATGCTTTTGTTATGGAAACACAAAAGTTGGCTTGACGGCACCCTTATGTAACCCATTCAGAATTTTGCAAAGTGTGAGCAAATTGTGGTTATTTCCAATTCAGATTGCTTCCAAGCGTAGACTGGTCATAAACTACAGTCAACTCTTAACCATTTGTCTAATGTGACAGCAAGCTAGGCAAAAGAGCAAAGGAATTATGCTAGGCCATGTCTACCCAGTTCCCCAATAATTTTGAAGACTGAGAATGTGATGTAAAAGAGCTGAGGTGGCGCAATGGTTAGAATGCAGCATTGCAGGCTGACTCTGCCCACAACCTGGAGTTCGATACTGAAGGAGTTTGAGGTTGACTCAGCCTTCCATCCTTCCCAGGTCGGTAAAATGAGAGCCCAGATTGTTGGGGCCAATATGCTGATTCTATAAACCATTTAGAGCAGTGTTTCCCAAACTTGACAATTTTAAGGCATGAGGACTTCAACTCCCAGAATTCCACAGCCAGCAATGCTGGCTGTGGAATTCTGGGCGTTGAAGTCCACATGCCTTAAAATTGTCAAGTTTGGGAAACACTGATTTAGAGAAGGCTGTAAAACACTGTGACACAGTATATAACTCTAAATGCTATTGCTATCTGGCCTGCTAATCATTTTTCACTTCCCATAGGAGAAGATCGGGGAGCTGGTAAAAAAGATGTTGGAAGACTTTGGCTCCCAGCGTTACATTGCCAATTTGGGCCACGGCCTCTATCCTGACATCGATCCAGAACACGTAGGGGCTTTTGTAGACGCTGTGCACATGCATTCTCGCAATTTGAACAAATGTTCTTAGAGATTGGGAGAAAACAGTCCTTAAGCGAAAAAGAAAAGAAGTGGATGATCTGCTAAGTAAATGTAACCGTTTTTGAAAGATAACATGCTGGAAAGGATCTCAGTTGTAATTAGCTACAAAGACTGCTGCGGAAACTGGCAAAAGGAACCAGATTTTTCACACACACGTTATCTTCTTCTCAATCTCTACCATAGAAAATGGATTCATTATGAAACATACATTGCCCCAGCTGTGTACTTTTTATCCCCAAATTGCTCCTGCTGGTTACAACACTAATCCGAGCACCTCTTGACAATCAGTGAACACCTTTTATTATAATTGAACTTCATCTGCCCTTCCGCACAGAATTTGGCAGTCTGATCTTGCTTCCCACCCATCCGTTTCTTGCAGAAATACTTTTTTTTATTATTTTGGTTGCTTTTTAATCTGCAGAAGTGCCACAAGGGTGGTGCTTTTGCTGTGGGGAGAAGTTCAAAACATCTGAGGGGGAGGAGATATGTATATGCCTGAATGGTCTGTTTTTTGCAGGTTAAGTATCCTGTGTCTGAGTCCCCTTTTAGCTTATATGCAAATTACCTTGATTATACCAGGAAAGGAAGAACTATATCCTCCCCTTCCAGTTGCAGAATATGGAACTGTAACCTCTCCATGATCCTATCTCAGTAGCAGCACAGATTGTCTTTGAATGGCTTTCCTTTTCATGATTTCCGACTGGCAGCATGATACCAAAAGGGCTGGAGTGATACGATGAATGGCTTCCTTTTTTTTATTATTAAACATCAGATCAAGAAGTTGTACATACAAAATAAAGAGACAGAAGAATGATACTTTTATGGCAACAAATACTGGGTGAGTAGGGCTTGTCTGGTCTTCGAACCAGTTTCTCAGGATTTTTTTTTTTAAATAAAAAAAAAACAAATTGGAGTCAGACAATACGTAATTTTCATCCACATTTCCTAAACTACGCTTCATCTTAACCCCTGCCCCATCCATTCCCTCCCTGCCCCTTTTAGAACTAAGATGCACTGGAACAGGGGAACACAAAGACATTTAGAAAAGGGGAAAAAACTATTTTGCTCCTGCTACACTCCCTTTCATGGGACTGAATTAAACATTCAGATGGATGCAAAGCCATAGAAGGAGATAAAGTAGCAGAAGCTATGGCAGAAAGCTGTCCTCAAGAAGGCACCAACCTTAGCAGATGCCAGCAAAGACAGTAGTTTTGAAATTAAATTGAGAATAAAGACACATACGCAGACTAATTGCCCCTGCTCCCCAGATGACAAAAAATAAAATAAAAATAGAACCATTTCTAAATTCACAGAGTAATACAACTCTTGCACAAATCAATTCATTTGCATGTGGAGAAAGGCCAAAAATAGAGCTTTTTATGCTATGGCCTCAACTGGCTCACAGTCTTGTTTCAGCTTCCTAGGGATCATTTTGTATCCCGTATCTAGAACCACGGTACGAAGTAGCAGAGTCAAGTAGTGTGCTGTGGCTTATAGCCAGTGGGCCAAGTCCACACCCTGATGGCCTTGAAATGCTGAGGTGTATCTGGCTTTGCGATTGCCACCTTGGTCTCCTCTCTTCCAAGGTTGTGTGTTGTGGTAGTTCTGCTCAAGCTTTTGTTTATTTTCCATTGGTCAAAGCTCACCCACCTCTCTCTCTCTCTCTCTCTCTCTCTCTCTCTTTCTCTTTTTGCCAACAATGCTGGGAGAAAACCTGAGAAATATTCATATTTCTCACGTTTGGAAAAGCTTAGCCCAGCCCACAACACATTTCAAGTATCCCCAAACAAACAAACAAAAAAAAGAATAATTATAAATAATTAGAACTTTACAATTTAATAATTGACACATATACTATTGTATTTACAGTATCATAAATGCTTCTGTTACTTTTAGTAAAGCAATCCCTGAGAACCATTAACTTTAGTGTTTTTTTTTAATTAAGAATTTTCATACGCACCCACTTGCACACATACTAAACCAACCACCCCCCGCCTATAACCCCTCCCTCCCTCGCCCCAGTTACTCTGGAGGCAACTCATCCTATTCCCCAGCCAAGCAAATAGTTTGAAGTCTGGCAAATCTGGAGGGTACTAGGTTGGAGAAGGCTGCACTAAATGATGATGCCAGTAATGGCAGGATGCACATCTCAAAACCCACCAGCTGAGAATACAGATGGCGGCACAAGAGGCTGAGTAATGTGCTTCCATATTGGCTGCTTCTCTGCCTCCATCCACCATGCTGTTTGGGAAAGAGGTATTCAGTTTCCTAGTTAGCCTTTTGGTATTGCTGAAGTGTTTGCAAGTAAGTGGTCATTGGAAAGCAAACTCTTCCTGTCATGCTACTTTTGGTTTATGTTCCTGAAAGAATCGGGAGATTTCTCTACGATGAAAACTACAGTTAGTCTTGCCTGATAAGCATGATTCCACCAACAACGATCAGGGTTTCTTCTTCCTTTTTCCCTAATGCAGAAGTTCAACCAAATCGTTCTCGCACTAGCAACATAAGCTTCTTCTTGCCCTTATAGATCTGCTTAAGGTTGTCTATGAACTGCGCAAACTGAATGTGGCCATCTTGAGCAAGCAGGAACGTCTCCCGAGCTTTGCTCAGGAACTCAATAAACTCCCCGTAATGCCGTGGGCTGATGTGGGTAAGACGGGAGTGTGTAGTATTGATGTAAGCGCTTATTGTAGCATCCAGTAGTTGGCGCAAAGGTGCTTTGTCCGTCGACATCAGTTTCCCAGAGTTCCTGCGGCCAGGAATGCCAGCAAGGCCTGGTGCTGTCATGGTGCAGCGTCGCAGAATGTCAGACAGCACCGTGGCACAATGCACGCTCTTTACTACCAATGGAATAATAGCTGCCAGCTCATTCTTGCCTAGGGAATGGCTGAGTGCGCATGCCCAAAGCACGTCATTGATGGCAGGGTGTGTGTCCTGGTTATAGGCAAGGTTGAGGTGTGTCATGGCAAGCGATGCCAGCTTGAAGGCCCGTAATGGGTACCCACGGTGCTCCATATACCGTGCAATGGTGAAGAGCTGGGAATAAGTCATGCCAGTGGATGCAGCATCTATAACAATTTGGTAAGCAGTTTCAAAAGCAATGTGGTCCTTCTCACAAAGGGTAAGAGCTGAGAGTGCACAGTTTTGCGGGTCCTTCATGGCACACTGCAGGGCCAGCGTGCGAGCACAACTAGCCAGTTCTTCTCGCTGTGGGTAGTCCAGGGTGAGGCGCAAGATGGTACTGTGGGACATCACCGTTGCTGCTACTATGCTAGTTGCTTCAGTAGGGGTAAAGAGTGAATACCAACTCTGCAAGATGCTGACCAGGGCCCGAACACCTGCAAAGAAAGAATCGTGAACTGCTCAGCCAGTAGTGAAGAACCAGCAAGGTTCATGCAATGGTGGTAAGTACAGTGAGCGATAATTGTATTTTCCTTTTCATCACCAAGGTCCTAATTGTGTCAGGAGACCAATACTGCAGTCAATTATATTTTTGTCTCTCACTGTCTTGAAAGTAGCATATCACTGTCTAGTTTAGCATTAGCCTGTAGGAGATGATCTCTCTCTTTTTTTATAATGAAGGATTGAGCTCCATTGTAAAAAACATTAAAAAGATTGCTATAATTTGAGCTACTTAGTGAATTCAATTGGAAAATGTCATATATCCTATCTATCTTATCTTTGTTTGGTGTGTTTTCCTTATAAATAAATCCTTAAATATTTGCAACCTAGGGAGCTGATATCGGGAGAAATAGACTTGAGTTAGAAATCACTCATCTTTATCATGAATTTGGGTATTAGTTATCATCCAAATTTGGCTCTGGTGCCTAATAGCATCTTAATATCTTTTGGGTGAGCAGAACGTCTACACATGCATATCTTCTTGATGGTTGGGGAATTATACTCTCGGAATGTCAAGCCCATGTTGAGAAAGGCTGAAATAGGCTCTCTCTAAGCTGGAGTCTTCATTTTAAGTATAGGTTCATGAAATACCTACCAACTTCTGTAGCACAGGTCACCAGCCATCGCACCATCTCCCGCCGTCTCCAGTTCAATGTTGACAAGGTCATGCGCATCACCTGCAGCAGTAGAAATGAGTAGAAAATATTTTTCTTCACCCACCAGTGATATCCAAAGAAGTGGTTGCGTTCCCCTAGAGCAGCATATCGTAACAACTTAAATGGTTTCAACCTGTTTTGAAGATTAACAGGTTTGGCTTATAGCTTCATAAACTGCCTAGATTGGAGGCCACATGGGAAGCATAATGGCCCGTTCTGAATTTTTCAGTTGAGAAATGTTAAATGTGCTTATTTAATTATTTAAATCAGGGATCCCCAACCTCTCCAACTTTGTGGACCAGTGGCGGTGGCGAGAAGGGATGGTACTGTGTGAGGGGTAGGCGTGCATTCAGCTCCATTTGCACAAGCAGTGAGTGTGCATGCACGCTGCTCACACAAATGGAGTTTCGCATGCATTCGCCTGCTGTTTGCTCAGCCCAGTTCCAATGGAATGTGGCTCAGCCCAGTTCCAATGGAATGTGGCCCGGGGATTTAAACGGCCAGTATGGCCACAATCCTGTAAGAGAGCAGGGTTAGTGCTTAACATCACAACTCGGCAGACTTTTTCTTTGGCTCATGGACATTTCATTAACCTTCAAGGCAGGCTTCCATCTTACTATGGAGATTTGGAAATTATTCATTTTTCTTAATGATTATTAATATCCTTACTTGTAGCCCCAACTCCAGTGCCACGTTAAGTAGTGTTGTGTCAGCATTACTATCAGCAGGTGTGGCAATCTTAAAAGCATCCTGAGCCAGTTTGAAGATCAAGGAAGAGGAGTGGATGTTCTTCTGAATTGCTTCTAGGACAGTTCGTAGACGGAGCATGTCACCTGCAGTATAAGAAAGTTTATCATTATCCATCCAATAAACCTTTCTAAAATAATAGTAAATATCTTCCTATGTAAACTGGGTAATATTTTGTATATCCTGCTAGAGAGAAATCAGTTTGAGGGGTCAAATATTCGATTACAGATTTCTTCTCAAACCCTTCAGTGTCTTTCCACTTAGCCTTTTTCAGCTCAAGCAAATATACCAAGAGATTCTATGACAAATCTGCATTTTGCCTGTTTCTGGAGCCAAGTAAGGAAATAAGTACAGATACTGCGCAGAAATAAAAGGCTGTTAGACAATGTATATCATTTTCAATCTGAACTGCAATCATAAATTACCAGACAAAAATATGCTAGCAATATATGGTTAGTGAGCACCTGTCCAGCCTAGATGGGTTCAAATCACCAGGACCAGATGGATTACACCCCAGAGTTCTCAAGGAACTGGCAGATGTGATATTGGAGCCACTGAACTATATTTTTCAAAGATCCTGGAACACAGGGGAACTACCAGAGGACTGGAAAAGAGCTGATGTAGTTCCCATCCTCAAAAAAGGAAAAAAAATGGATCCAGGAAATTACAGACCTATCAGCCTGACCTCAATACCTGGGAAGATCCTGGAAAAGATAATCAAACAACGAATCAACGAACACCTAGAGGCAAACAAAGTCATTACTAAAAGCCAACATGGGTTTGTCAAAAATAGATCATGCCAGACAAATCTTATTGCATTCTTTGACCAAGTGACAAAATTAGTGGATCAGAGGAATGCTGTGGACATAATTTACTTGGACTTCAGTAAGGCATTTGATAAAGTAGATCACAACCTACTACTTGACAAGATAGAAAAATGTGGGGTAGACAGAACCACCACCAGATGGATCCGTAGCTGGCTGACCGGCCGTACTCAGCGAGTGGTCCTCAATGGAACTGCATCTATATGGAGGGAAGTGTGTAGTGGGGTGCCCCAGGGCTCTGTTCTGGGCCCAGTACTCTTCAACATCTTCATCAACGATTTGGATGAA